ATAAATATAAAATATATTACATCAGACTTACACCTGGTATCAATAGATATATATATATATATATATATATATATATTTACTAAATAATTTTTTAAATAGCATTTTATTTTAAAATTGAGTCCCACAACACAAATCATTAGACTTTATTTTTCTTTGTGCCTTCTCTTTTTCATTATTTATAAAACTAAAGTTAAATAATTTATAAACTAATAATCTTTTCACATAGATATTGTTAAATTTTTAAGATAAATAATTAAAATATATATTATATAACTTTTTAAAAGTTAATAAACTTTATAAATTAAAAATAAATATATAACATAAAAAACAACTATTTGACATAATAAAAAAAATAGTGCCTAAAATACTTCCATTTAAGATTATTTATTTCCATTGAATGATTTTTCTAAAAACATTCTTGTTCAAAAATTACCTTATGCACGTTCATTATTTTTATACCTTATATTAAGGTATTTATATGATCTCCCTTCATTATTTTGAGTATTTATATACATGTTCTGTTGTGAGTTCATTTTAAGGATGACTTGTCCTGATCTCTTAATGAAGTTTTGGGTTACTAGTGAGAGTGACTAGTGAAAAATGAGCATGAGACTGAAGCAAATAGAGATGTCCGAAAAAGTGATGGAGAGAAAAAAGGTGGAAGGGATATTGGAAATGGTTGAGACAACACTAGAGGAGGTTTATTTTGGGTATTCATCATTCTCACACTACTGCGAGTGTCGGCGAGTAAATTGTAGTGTCAAGTCCTTATTAGCAACAATAAAAACTTGACTTTTATTTGATGCCTTATTTTGAATGATTGTACTTCTAGCTACTTTGAACAAATACCTTTTTATTTTATTGGTTAAACTTATGCCCACTCATTAAACTTATTTCATAGGATCTATTTGCATTTATTTTATGATATGATGATTTGTGTTTTGTCCTAAATATTAGGTTATGTTTTTATCAATTCCATACCACACAATATACGTCATGTTTAAATCATCATTTCTCTTTTATTACTAAATTAAATTTTCATACAAATGATGACTAAATAATTGAAGAAATTTTCATTTAAAAAAAAAAATTGACCCTTTCTATCAATTACTTAAACAAGTTTCACAAATAATCTCAAAAAAAAAAAATTAAAGTTGTGGAGTATGATTGAGAGAATTGGATCTTAGCACGTCATGTTCTTCTTTACTTGAAAAATCAGTCTCACCTTCACTTTTATTGGTTGCTCTTCTTTTTCTATTATTACATTCTCTTCAATTTTGTCTTCCTTGCACCTTTAAACCTCCTCTTATTTTTTTTATCTATTTTATCTCACATATCTTTAACAATATATTCAACCTTTCAAATTATTATTATATGACTTGACATAGGGGTTAGCTTCTTCCCCAGAACTTGTCATTCTACACTAGAATGTTAATTGAAATAAAAGGACCTCATAACAATTTTGTATATGTACACACACAAATAATGATCACACACACTCTTATTTCACACCTATATTGACTTTTTTTTATTAATCATCACTGTAGCCTTTAATTATTTTTTTTTTTCTCTCTTTGGTTCTTAAAGGAAAAAAAAAACACCGTCAAGGAAATCTTCAAAATATATTGACAAATAAATTGAAAGGATGGAACTCTATAGGCTCAATACAAAGATACACCATAAGAGTTTCAAAAAGAGGGAAAAATTAAGAAAGAAATCGATATGACCGAAAATTAAAATAACACAATTGGAATTGGTTGAACACTTTATTTTTGTGCTTTCCTTTTTAAATTTTTTTTCACTGTCATTTCTTTTCTTGTATTTTTTTTAGAAAAACTGATATCCTTTTTTTGTTTTCTAATTCTTTCAAAACAATTTTTTTCTTGTTTTGGGATGCTACTTTTTAATTGAATAAAATTATGGAATCATAATATAGATAAAACGGGAAAAAATAAGAAAAAAAATTACACAACAACAATAAAATAAAATAAAAATATTAATAAGGTAAAAATAATAATCAAGTTTGCATAGAGACAAACTCTAATTTTAAATTGATGTAAATATTTGAGAAAGAAAATCTTAAGATACAATAACAAATTTGAAACTTTATCTAATTTAGCTGTATGACAGGGTTGAAGCCATAAAACTTAGATTCGTTAATTATACATAACTAAGAACCTAAGTTATAAGAGATAAATTTCACAACGAAGAGATTTTTTTACAAGTTTGAGAAAGTTCTTAGAAAAAACTTGTAAAAAATTAATACAAAACTATTATTTCTTCTATGCCTTTAAATACAATGAGACTAGATATGTAGACATCGTTAGCTTAGAAAAAAAGTATTAATTAACTTTTCTAATTATCCTAAATAATATATTAAAAAATACAAATACAAAATCATAAAATATATTGAAATACCTTGATTAATCAAATCCTTAAAAAATTGACATACAAACAAGTTCATTTAAAATAGTTCATGCTCCCAGTTTCTCTTTTAATAAGTTCATCTTTTGTTAAGACGAAATTAAGAACATGGTTAGATTGAAATTTTATATGGAAATAATTTTCCATTTTCAAATTGTGTTGAACAAATCTATTTGAAGTTTCTTCAATTTTATTTTTTTACTCCTACTCTTTACTCTTGTAATAGATTAATTTTGAATTTACAAAGGATCTCTTAGTGAATTTGAATTGGCTTGTTCCAATCTATGTCTTACATCAATAGTGTTGGAACACGCAATATATTTGTTCCAATCCAAATTCTTCGGCAAGGTTCGTTTCAATGATAAATATGGAGCAGCATTTTACAACTTTAATTTCTATTTCAATTCTGTAATAACAGAATTTTATCAGAAAAGAATCTAATTTTTCAGTAAAGACATAGAATAAGAATTTTAAATAGAATTTGGATTCAATTATAGTAGATACCAATTGGTGGAAGATGCCAACAGTGACAGCCATTAAAGGTAACTAGTGGTAATTGTGATTGGAGGACAATGGTGATGATTGGGACTATAAGACACCAACAGTGGATGGATGATACCAACGACTACAAGCACAGTACGTTGATAAATTAAATTAAAAGTGTTTGACAAAATTAGTATTATTAAATTAGTTAATAATCATAAAACGATAGATAAAAGAATTATTAATCATAAAATTAAAATATGAAATGTGATAGTCATTTTTTCAAATAATTATAATTTATTATTTTAATAATAAATATTTGATTTTATTTTTATTTTTTAATATTTTATTAAATAAGTGAATGAAACAAATAAATTTATATTTTACGAAAAGCTAATTAAAATAATATTGAACAATGTTAATAAGTACTTATTTCAATAACCTTGTGAAAGCTAAAAAAATAACTTGAAATAATATTATACTGACTGATCTATTATATACACTGAATGGTATAATTTATAGATTTTAAAGCAAATAATTAAATATAATATAATTTATTTTTCTAAATACATTTAACAAATTAGGCTTTCTCGCAGCAATACGCTTCAGCAACTCGGGAAGAATTTCTAAATTGACATAGAATAACGTAATTAACTTCAATTTTTCAGTTATGCGTTCAAATAACTACCATTTATGAGGAAAAAAATTATAAAATTAATTAATATTACAATTTATTGCCGTCTTCGTCATTGTCTTCTTTTTCATATATTAGATTGATTTAGTTAAAAGTAGTTAGCAATTAAAAATAATAATTTATTTGATTAACTTTTGAATGTTATAAATCAAAAATAAAATAAAAATTTTAAAAGTATATTAAAATAAAAGATAAAATTAGAGGATTAAATAAAATAAAAAAATATTAGAAGAGTAAATTGAAATAAAAAAACTAAAGTTAAAATATTAAAGTGGTAATTAATTTTGCCTTAATAAAATTAATTATTGAACTAGTTGATCAATATCAAAGGATAGATAAGGATATCATTAATTACTGCACTAAATATTGAAATTTGACAACTATATATTTTAAATTATTATAAATATATATTTTAATTCATTTAAAATTATTTTTTATATTACAAATTAATATAGTAAATTTTTTATTTTATTCTTATTTACAAATATTTGTTTGAAATAAAATTAGACAATAATATAAATAAATTCATTTTATTATTTTGATAATTTTATGTTATAAAGAATAAAATTTAATTATTTGTTAAATTATTTATGTTATTTTGAACATGATGAAGGTTTATGGTTTCAGAAATTGAATAGATAAGAGAGAAAATATTAAAAAATAATAGGAATAAAATATAAAAACTTTCGGATAATATATAGTTTAAAACTAGCATTTTAGAAGATGGCGGTTACAATAACATTAAAAAAAGTGACAGTATGTATCTATTCCAGTTACTTACTAAACGATATTTTTTTCCTTAAACAAATTTTTGGTTAATAAGATAAGCTTTTAGGTAGTTAAAAAGGTTTTTAAAACACATTCTATTGCTTGGTTCCATTAATAAAACTAAGTAAAATCTTATATCTTATAACTGGCTAATTAAATTATAGTCATTTGATAAAATTACAACTTGTTAAAATGTATTAAATGATTAAGAAAATCTAGTATTGTGATATAATATTAGGATGTAATATCACACATCTTATTTATTTATTATCACACCAAATTATTTACTAACTTAATGACAAAAATAAACTGTAAATTTATGATACTAAATAAACTCAAAATAAAATATCTTTACGTATCAAATTTTTTTTTGGGCATTTTTATAGCCGCTCAATAAGAATCACTTTTGTTACTTTTTCTTTTTTAATTTCAGATGTCAATTATTGGCCATATAACCTGAAAGAACGATGAATCAAAGTTGTTAGACGAATCTACTATTCTAATTTGACAGTATAAAAAGCTGAGGAATTAGATTCAACTTTTATCAATTTGATTGATGTTGAGAATAAAGAACAACGTACGTATCGTTTTGCCTATATAAATATCTGACCTAGCAATACCATTTATCAAAGTTGTGTTTGGGGCATTATTTGAGTGTATCAAACAGAAAGAACAATGTCATTCAACGACTACCACACCAACTATTCAGGGTCAGGGGTTGGATACCCCAATGATCATCTTGGCATCAACAAGAGGGTTGTTTATGAAGAAGATTTGATTGAGGAACCCCACCGCCACCAGCACCACCGTAGGCCTCATTACCCAACTGAGACTCATGAGAGAGTTAAAGTGGTTGAGTATGAGGAAGTTCCTGAGACTCGCTACGGTGGAGTCATCTACCAAGAGAATATGGAAACTGATAAATACTACCCTCGAAACAATAGGACTGTGTGGCCTTGAGCTTCTTAATTATCATGTCCCTATTGTGCTATGCAGGGTACCTAATATAAGCATCACTAGTGTGTTTGCATTAAATAATCTCCTGCTTAGCTAGTCGTTATGTTATAAACCATGTATCACTTCTCAATAAATATGTTAGTTTATCTATAGTGTGTGTATTAGCATGCGATGATTCTTACTTTACCTAATATATATTATTATATAACATAATCTAGATCAAGTAGTGGAATATATCTCTCCCCCTCAACTATGACTGATTTCTTAAAACGTGTAGTTTGGACACGAGCAAATGAACAGTCCTATCCTACAATACAAGACCTGTATTAGGAACACACAAAAAATTCGATAATCTTGTCATTCAATTTTTGAAGACCATCCTAAATGCAAGAGTATATATGATTACGAATATGTTGTTATAACAGTAAATTTTGAGATTAAGTAGTTGAAGACAGTAACTTTTTTCCTACGACCAAAAGATACAGCTATCCAAAACAAGGATAGATTGCATTACAATTATTGATCAGATAGACCCAGAAAATAGTTAACGTTAAAGTGGCTTTGCTTTATTGAGTTCTAACAAATTTCCATTAGCCTTTTCTTCTTGCGAAAATAATGTTAGTCACTAGTGTTTTATTTGGTGCAAATCTTCATATGACTTATTAGAGAATTGTAAATAGCACGGGTTCTAATCTAGAAGTTGTTCCATTTAAATGAAGGGCTCATTATTGCCATGGCTGTAATATATATATATCCCTCCAAAATAACAGATAAAAAAATGAATTGTGTATATGTGTAATATGCATGCACATGTTAAGTAGGCCATGTTAAAGGAACAATGAAATTTAAATTGTAGGAACAATCTGCTGTTTTGAATTGACAGATTAAAGGTATGGGAATTACATTCAACTTTTATCAAAAAATAAAATAAAATTTGGTAATGGAACCTGTTTTTTGTTTTTCTTTGTAACGTTCAACTTTTATCAATTTGGAAATTGAGAATAAAGAATAACACACACAAACGTATAATATAAGAATGTCTAATGTTTTGTAGATATTTTTTCTGCTTAAAGAAACGTTTGTAAGTAATTTTACGTTTTCTTTTTTACGGTCAGTACAATCAATGTCGATTCCTTCTACATCCCAATATGTTTCTTCTTTGCAGTGTCTTCTCCTTTAGAGTGAGGAAACTTACTACTTGATATACAGATATGAGGTAATCTATTACTTCTATTGTTACGTTTTGCGCAACATTTAAGATTTTGTGATTAAATTGTAAAAAACTGTATATACTTTTTAGTAATACTATTTTAACACTTAATTTAGGTATCTAAATTAGATATCCTACACAAATATAGTATACTTAATTTTTTAATCTGTATAAAGTATCTGATGGAAATAATTAAACCGAGTATTAAAATAGTATTACTCTATATAAAAATTGTCTGAATACAAAACAAAAAAAAAAGTTATAAAATAAACATAAAATTATAAAGAACAATTGAGATAAACTAGCGATAACAAAACTAGAGAAGAAAAGAGGATCTCAATTTTATTTCACACATTCTCGATACAAATGAGATACTTATTTATAAACTTAAATATACAACCAAAGTATCTTATCTCTTTAAATATGAATTAAACAAATCAGTTATGATTTCATAAGTTACAAAGAATATGAGCAGTTATGAATATGGACATTTACTCACAATAATTCATACACTCCACATTGAATGTTCATTATTTGAGAATATGTTTCATAACATATAACATGGAAAAATCCTATCGGATAAAAATCTAGTGAAAGAAAAAAGTATATTATTCTTTAATATGCTATTAGATACTGCCTCATTAAAACTTTGCCAAGAAAATTCAATAGAAAAAACCATGTCTAAGAAAAAAAGAGTGTAGAGCATATTTCATTCTCTACCACATGTGGACAATCATTTATAAGTCTTGTGAACTAGTTGTTCAAAAATTTTACTTAAAAGTGACTTTGTGAAAATATCTTCTAGATTCTTACATGAGCAAACTTGTTGAATATTTATATCACTATTCTTTTGAAGATCATGGATAAAAAAAAATTTTGAAAAATATATTTTGTTTTATCTTCTTTAATGTACCCTTCTTTCAATTGAGTCATACACACAACATTATCTTCATATATGATCGTTAGGGTCATTTTTTTGGAAGATAAATCACAAGTTTCTTACACATGTTGAATCATAGATTTCAACCAAACGTATTATCGACTTGCCTCATATAATGCTAAAATTTTTGCATGATTAGATAATGTAGCCGTTATAGTTTGTTTCGTAGATCGCCATGAAATGGCTATATCACCATATGTAAACAAATAACCTGTTTGTGATCTACCATTATGTGGGTTGAACAAAAAACCTGCATCTACATAACTAATCAATTCAGACTTAAATTTATTTAAATAAAATAAATTCATACATGTTGTACCTTTAAGGTTATGAAATATATGTTTAATTTCATTCCAATGTTTTCTTGTAGGTGAAGAACTATACTTTGCTAATAAGTTAATAGCGAATGATATATCAGTTGTGTATCACAAACAAGATACATTAGTGAATTGCACTAAGATAAGGTACTTCAAAACTAAGTAGTTCTTCATCCTTCTTTAGAGGTTTGAAAGGATCTTTATTTACATCTGGTGACCTTACAACTAATAATTTTTTGGCAAGTGCACCAAATTGTTGAAGTAACAAATTAGATTATCATCCACAAAAATTAATGCTAAGTACCAACCCACAAGAATAATACTAGTTGGATCACCAAAAATAGAGTTTAAATAGAACAAAAATTAAATGAATACAAAATTATAAAAACTGAATTAAAAGTGCTGGAATTGAATTTGATAAATGAGCAGCAATTGAGAGACTAAAATGTGGAATAATAATCAAAATAATTGCAGAATGTAAATGCCTAATTTACTGGAAGTGAGTTTAAAAATAATTAAAAAGTAGGGTAAGTTCGGAATCCCTTATACTTTTCCCTTTGCATACAAATATAAAATATAGCTTCATCTAATGGTCAAATTTTCTAAAATATCCAATCCCAATTCCTTGGTTAATTGGTTCTAAAACGAATTTAGCTTTCTAATTCCTTAGATAAAACAAAAAATGTTCAGCATTAAGATTTAAACCCATTGACCACATCATCATAAATTTCTATTCCTAAATAATTTATAACAAGCAAATTAATCCTAATCCAAGAAAGATCACAACTTTCTAGCAATAAAACTCATTTTCATCAACCTCATTCACGTAGAATAGAGAAACATTAAGTTCAGAATCAAAATGTTAGATTAAAGCTTGTATTTTGAGTTATTTTCAATGTTTACTTCATTGCAAATGGTAAAAGAATAGGTTCATCCTCACTCAACTCCAAGATATTTAGCTAGACATAATGAAAGTAAATAAACTAAAAATAAAATATATTGTTGAAAAAGAAATCATGTTCATAGAAATAGCTTACAGCAGATAAGTGAAATGAGAGAAGTTATTATTCCATTACAAAAACCAGAGAAAAAGGGAATGTAACCCAAGTTCACATAAGAATCCTCTAGAAAGGATTTAAGAAAATTTCCCTAGTTACCATTCCTACGTAAAATATACGAAAATCTAAATTTTTGCGCCTCTAGAATGTAGTAAAAATGAAAGATAAAAAGTTTCATCTTTTCAGAAACTTCTACTTTTATATGCTCTGTCAACATCGTGTCCCTACAATTGTTTCCTGCAGCACTCAACTTCTGCTCTTTAGTCCAATTGTCAAATTCCTTCAAATCCCTTCACACTTATAAATTGTCAAATTCCTTCAAATCCCTTCATACAATTTATAAAAGCAAACGGCTTCTCACTTTTCTTCCATGCTACTGTACTTGCTTTTCAGTTTGTACCTAGGCTCTATGCTCTTTTTGTCTCTATTATATGGAATCCTTTGCCTTGTAGTGAGGCTGTGGGTTGGGTCAAGCCTTGGTTTTCTAGCCCGGATAAATCTTGTGCTATCATCCTAAACAATTGCCCCATGTGCCTATGGATTAATTTTCGTAAGTGCCTCACCTATTAAAGCGTATTTTTTCAAAATTTATCCCATTGGCACATAGTATTTTATTGGATGCTCTAGTCTTCTCATTAAATGTCAAGACAAAATTTCATTCAAAGTTTTTTCTAACTTTTCTTATTTTTACATATACAGTCTTCTTTGAACAATAATCCTCGTTAGGTATAAGGTGAAACATTTATTGGCTATATTAAATCTCCCTTTTAAGATGTGTGTGTATGTATATAGTTTCTGATCTTATTTCTTTACTTTTGTGGACCTATGGCTTCTTCTTGCGACTTGGAGTGCTCCTTAAGTGAGGCGCATCCTTAGGAACAAGTTCTGATGAGTTATTTATCAATCCTAATCTAGTCACTTTTTTAGCGTTTTCTACCATCTTTCATCTCCTCGGTCTGACCTATCAAATGCTTCAGGATGTTGGGTGTTAGATGTGCCTTTTCAAGAATATGATTTTATCCTCCTTCATCTCTTAGTGACGGCTTCTTCTCTACAGGTCCATTAGGTACTCATGCATCAAATTCTTAGGTTCGCGTTTGTTATGGCTTAGCAAAATCACCCTCTTCCGCCATAGGTCCCTCTTTATTCTGTTCACACTTGCTTCATCAAGAGTTTCCTTGGGCTCTTCTGTGTTTTGTTTCCTATGCATATCTTACAAGAGGTTTGGTTGATTGAGTTGAGCACATATTCCTAAACGATCTTCCTTTTGTTGCCATTATAAAAATAGGGATTACGGTAGTTGTTCGACAGTTTCCTGGTCTCTTAGTTGTGTGCCGCTTTAATGATTTTGAGCTATTGCTTCGGCGGTGGAATGCCTCAACTCATACCTTTATTACCGCTTGGGGTGAGTTTACTCCCACACTTGAAAACGTCCTTGTTCTGTTGAAGCTTCCTAACTTTGGTACCTTAGATCTCTCTAACGCCCTGGTACCTAGTCATATCGTTGATCTGACTTTAGAGGTGAAGGGCCATACAAGTAAGAGCGCCCATTATTATAGATTTTTTTTTCGTTGTCATACTCATTCTAAGGGTTCCAAAAAGGTCAAAGGGATCAATAACATTCTTTCCCAACCCAAGAAGTGAAGTTCTGTGAAATACACCTATGCAACTTGGGTGCATTACTTTCATGGAGATAATGACTCTACTGGTAAGTTTGAATTTGGTCATTTGTTTCCTCTTCGTCTCAAATGTGCAACTTTTGTCGCTTTTTGGTTAAGTCGGTATGTTTTCTTAGGTCCTCCTTAGGAGTCCATAAGTCCTTCTATATTTATTTTGGCGTGCCTCTTCTCAAAAGGCGTTTATCATATGGCCA